AAGGTTGTGATCAGTCTTTTGTAAATAGTGTACATAATGTTGTAAATAAACGTATTCGCTTCGAACTAACTAGCCTCTTCGAATTTTTCAGCGGCTTTCGTGAATCTAACAACAACATTTGGTCCTTTAATTGGGTGCAAAACCTCGTTCAATTTCCGTGAGCTGACGATGTGTGGGACCGGAAGGGTTAATGAAATTATTTGGCTGAGAAAAAAATTAATTACTTAAACAATATTGTTAAATTTTCGACTTACTAAACTTACCGAGCGACCAAAAACGAATTCTAAAATGTTTAAGGTAGTCTATATTGTAGCCCGTGAAATTCTCTGTCAGATGAGATATTGCTTGAATCTTTTCGTTGCGTTGTTATTTTACAAATAAGACTTTATGCTAGTTTCNTCAGTTGTCCACCTTCTTCCTGCAGCCATTGTTGCACGACATTTCCTTTTCGATTTTTGTGGCATGACGATATATAAAAAGTCAACAAAAGTGCAACAATCACAGAGCCAGCAGTCAAAGATAACTCCAAGCGCTCCAAGGTCACTTCAAAACATCTCAAAATCACCACCATTGAACTCCTGACTGCTTTGAACCTATCAAAAAGGCTAGAAGGTGAACAGTGAGTTGACATGTTTTTTTGACCTCCCGAATTTGCTAGTCGATTAGAGGTATTGTGAATGAAAATGCCATATCTCAAAAAAGAAAGCGTATTAAAGGAAAAAAATGCTTAACTTTTACCAGCTCGATGAGGCGAATCTAACGGCGGTAAAAGAAAAGTTCTATCTCTATTTAAAAATGACTTGACGCCCTTTCCCTGGGACAAAGTGAGTTTTTGAGCTGTTGATATGAACGACACCTGTCAAATATTCGCACAAGAGCTGGATGATCAGCAACTACATTTTTAGAATCAGTTTTTGACGCAGATCAAGATAAAAAATCTTTAAAAGCTATAGCAAATTTTGGAAAGAAGCTGTAGGTACTTTTCTGTAAAAATACCAGGTTTTCCAAACCTTGGACTTTTGCGGTTTTTTCGAGTTTTTGACGCCAAAAAATTTTTTTTTCTGAATATAGTATATATATTCAGATTCAGTGCATCGAGCTGCATCTAACCATATATAAAAACCTAAAAAGTAAAAACTGCTTGAATTTTGCAATATCACAACCTTATATAAATTTACGATTGACTAGTAATGCACGAACAACTTCCTGTGAATAGAGTTTTGCTATAATCGTACGATGTTTTTTCAATTTTCCCACGCGATGTGCTACTTTGATTAAATTTATATCAACACTTTGAATACCAGATTTTTGAGCAGCCTGAACAATAGTATTTTTCAATAAATACTCCGGTACGCTGTTGTTAATTCAATCGAATCTAAGATTGTATGATCTCGAATCACGTTCGAAATCATTTTTTTTTTCCAATTGGTAGTAAAAGTTTATCTATGTATTGTTGTATTGGTTCTACAAGATGTGCAGCCAAATGTTCCAAGCATTAGTTAAAATCATCGTTATTTTTATCTCATAAATCACGTAGATCATTTTGTTCTATTCTCTTTTTCTGCCAATGCAGATCATCGCGACTTTATAGCATTAGTATACATCAGAAAAAACGCTATGGCGGTCAAACCCTCAAAATAGGCTCATTGCCTTCAACTCTATTCATTGTATTCAATAAAATAACTACAAAGTTAATTATAAAGATATACGCTGATAAAATTAAAGTGAAATGACCATGGTCTCAACTTTTCTTGTCATTTTCCATTCTAATCAACCACACCAGATGGCAAAGGAGGACTTTATGCTGAGGAATCGAAATAAATCAGTACTATATTTGTGCTTTGTGGTACCTAATACCTCCCTTCAGTCATCTTTTCACTTTGTTTATTGTCTGGTTATTGCTTTTTGTTTTTTTTGTATCTGTTTTAGTACTCTGTATCTCTTTTTCTCTATCCGCCCTTCTGACAGATATGCTTATAATGAGAATCGCGCTCGGTAGCAGGCATGCCTTTTCTCTTCAACAAGATAAGATTTAAACAAAAAGAAACAGATGAAAGAATATAGTAAATACGTGAATATTCTTTAAAGTATGCGATGAATATCAATCAGAACACGTTTAAGTCAGTATGGCTAATATACATTGTATATTTTAAAGTTCTAATAATAATGAATTTCAAAAAAATACACTAGAAAGCTTTCAATAAACTAACACTAGATACTATAAAATTGTAAAAATATACTAGATAATAGATACTATAGAATTGTAAAAATAGATGAGTAAATAACAAAAACTTCACAAGAAATCATTTAACATCTAAGTCGGATGGCGTTACCCATTTTGAATCAATCACAAATTGTCTTCATTCTTTGGCCAAGAGTCATTATCAATCAGCAACCACGATTGGTCTCTATATACATGTTTCAACCACCGGCTAACACTCAAGATGTCTTGCTGAACCAAGTGTATTTCAAACAGTTAAGAGTGAATAAAACACTTGTTATTTATTAATTTCTATTAACAAATTTTGATTTTAATTTTGATCAATAATCCGACATCATAAAAAGTTTAACACAATCATCTTGTTCGTAACAGCATACTATTAAATACATACATGTGTACCTTAGAAAATGTCCTATTCTAATTTGAGCTTACAGTTTTTATCACAGAATGGTATACCGACCGTTTTTGTTTTGTGAGACAATTTTCAACAATAATTTCATAAAATTTTCAGTTCAAATGACCAACTATTTAATCAGCGATCAGTGATACGTAGTTCTGTAGCTGATTCACTTATTTTATAGGGTGATGATGTCTTATATATTTTTTGTTTATCTGTATCAATGACTATTATATTTGTTGTTGAACGATTTTCTAGGTGGGTTTGATCATCGACTGCTTCAGCGGCTGGATATCGAAATATTTTTTGCAATTGTAGATCTTCAAATACATCAGCAACAAAACTGGCAGCATTTATAAATCGATCTATATGGTATGATTTACCACCACCTAAAAGAGAGAAAAAAATTAATGAATAAGTTGATGAAGTTGTCTTGCTCTGATAACTTGTAAAATGAGAATGAAATAAAGTTGTGTAGAAAAAACACGCTTTCGTTGTCTTTTCTCACATAGATAATAGCTACATAATACTCAGAACATTTTGAACTTATACATAATTGTTATATAACAATTCTAGTGATGATCTAATATTGTACTTCTACAGTTAGAGGTCTAATGATTCGGCGAGTAGGATTAACAGAATAACACAGCCTTGCGTATAATCGTCTTGCTAGCTATAGAACTAGTATTTAACATGTTACCCGCGATATTAAATTATACAAAGTTATGGCAGATACCTAACGTCATTTCAAAACAGATAAAACGTTCTGAAATCAAATATCAAACTGTGGTTTTGGTCACGTTAGGGTAGAAATTAACTTTAGTTCATTTTAACTGGCGAAATTGATGTAAATTAAGTCATTTTGTAAGGTGAAGAATTTCAATATAGATAATAAGAGATACACAACCTTTTTCATCATGAAACGCTATTTTAACCAACTTTCGTCTGTCACATTTGACTGAGGATGTCTTTTGAATAAAGACGAAACGTCTCAAACAGAAAATAGTCGATTTTCATGATGAAAAAGGTTGTGTATCTCTTATTATCTATAA